AAAAAAAAAAAAAGGGGCAGCTTTCAGATTCAGGAATTCTGCAAGGTGTGTGACTGCCATCTCTCTGGGCCCCAAGCCATAGGAATTTGATGGGTTTGTAGCAGACACGTGGCAGGAAACTAAGAATCTTTTCCATGGCATGCACATAACTTTCAGACCTTTACACGTGGATTTTTAGGCCAGGTGCAGTGGCTGAGACCTGTAATCCCAGCACTTCAGGAGGCAGAGGAGGGTGGATCACTTGAGGCCAGGAGTTCACAAGACCAAACTGGGCAACATGGTGAAACCCTATTTCTACTAAAAATATGAAAATTAGCCAGGCATGGTGGCGGATGCCTGTAGTCCCAGCTACTCCGGTGACTGAGGCGCAAGAATCACTTGAACCCCGGAGTTGGAGGTTGCAGTGAGCCAAGGTTGCACCACTGCACTCCAGTCTGGGCAACAGAGTGAGACTCTTTCTCAAAAAAAAAAAAAAATTAATTTTTCTGGGGTTTTTTTTTTTTTTTTTCCCCTCCTACGAGACAAGGTTTTGCTGAGTCGCCCAGGCTGGAGTGCAGTGGTGCGACCATAGCTCACTGCAGCCTCATCTTCCTGGGTTCAAGCCATATTGCCTCAGCCTCCCAAGTAGCTGGGACTGCAGGTGCACACCACTACCCCTGGCTAATTTTTTTTATGTTTTATAGAAAGTCTTGCTATGTTGCCCAGACTGGTCTCAAACCTCCTGGCTTTGAGTTTGAGAATATACCTCTGAGACTGTAGTCTGCTTCTCATTGAGATTTCTAGAGGTGAGTTTTCTGGTTGGTTTTTCAGGCAATCCTCCCACTTTGGCCTCCCAAGCGCTGGGGGTTACAAGCATGAGCGATCATGCCTGGCCTTGTTTTTGAGACAGGGTCTCGCTCTGTCACCCAGACTAGACTGCAGTGGCATGATCTTGGCTCACTGCAACCTCCACCTTCTGGGCTCAAGCGATCCTTCCACCTCAGCCTCCCAAGTAGCTGGGACTACACATGCAGGCCACCACACCCAGCTAATTTTTGTTTGCATTTTTTGTAGAGACAGGGTCTCACTGTGTTGCCCAGGCTGTAAAATAAACAAACAATAGGTAAGAGATGGATTTTTCTAGTGGGTCTGAGACTGGGCGTTTTGTGTGACCTTGGAATCTGAGAGCCAGGTAGCCAGTGTCCTCTTCTTCATTTCACAGGAGAGAAAATTGAGACCCTGTGAGACCCTGCTCCCGACTCTTGATGTTCACCCTTATAACTCTGTGGGCCCCGGTGCTAGCCAGTTTGTCACAGCTGTCATGTCAGCTTAATTTGGTTTGCTCTGTCTGAAGGTTGGGGAAGCGCCTGGAATTTGGGAAGCCGCCTTCACACATGTCTTCATCGCCGCTGCCGTCAGCCCAGGGGGTAGTCAAGATGTTGCTTTAGGAAAACCACGGAAGCTGAAGCTCTTGGTGTCGGTGCGAGTCGTTCCCTTTTGCCGTCTTTTTTACACTAGGTTTTATTTTAAGTTAGTTTGAGAAATAAGAGCAGTCTCCATAGTTCGCTTTGCGGCCCAAGCCAATGACTGAGGCCATCACCTGTGCTCTGGGGTTTGTCCCTGGGAAATGTCTCCTCATCCCTGCCTGCCACTGTGTGCATTGCAAAGAGGGACAAATGGGGCTCTCTGGGAAGGGCTCTAAGGTGTTGGTGATGAGGCTACCCTGTTGTTTCTGTTTTTGAGATAGAGTCTCACTCTGTCGCCCAGGCTGGAGTGCAGTGGCATGATCTCAGCTCACTGCAGCCTCCGCCTCCTGGGTTCAAACCGTTCTTGTGCCTGAGTCTTCCAGGTAGCTAGGATTTACAGGCACCCACCACCAGGCCTGGCTAAATTTTTTGTATTTTTAGTAGAGACGGGATTTTGCCATGTTGCCTAGGGTGGTCTTGAACTCCTGGCCTCAAGTGATCCTCCCACCTCGGGCTCCCAGAGTGCTAGGATTTCAAGCGTGAACCGTTGCTCCCATACCCCATCATGTTGAGCTAAGCCAAGCAGAGTCCTGATTGGTCTTTATTTTTTTCTTACTCTTTTGAGACAGTCATGCTCTTGCCTTGTCTCGTCCAGGCTGGAGTGCAGTGGTGCGATTTCGGCTCATTGCAGCTTCTGCCTCCCAGGTTCAAGCGATTCTCCTATCTCAGCCTCCTGAGTAGCTGGGACTACAGGAATGTGCCACTACACCTGCTAATTTTGTATTAGTGAGAAACAGAGTTTCACCATGTTGGCCAGGCTGGTCTTGAACTCCTGGCCTCAAGTGATCCTGCCGTCTCAGCCTCCCATAGTGCTGGAATTACAGGCGTGAGTCACCGCGCCTGGCCCCTGATTGGTCTTGATAGGTGGTGTTAATGTCCCAAGTCTCCTTAAATGTGGGATGGAGCTTCTCTCAGAGACTCTTCCCCCAGCCCCCAACCAGCTGGAATTGTCTTCCAGAACAAAATCTCCCAATGTTTTGTGGTGTACTGAAATCATGTCTAATAACCAAGAACAGAATGGTCACATGCGCTTTTAAAAACTGGAATAGGCCGGGCGTGGTGGCTTAGGCCTATAATCCTAGCACTTTGGGAGGCTGAGGTGGGTGGATTACCTGAGGTCAGGAGTTTGAGAGCAGCCTGGCCAACATGGTGTGAAACCCCATCTCTACTAATAATACAAAAAATTAGCTGAGTGCAGTGGTGGGCACCTGTAATTTCAGCTACTCTGGAGGGTAAGGCAGGAGAATTGCTTGAACCTGGGAGGTGGAGGTTGCAGTGAGCCAAGATGGCGCTACTGTGCTCCAGCCTGGGCAACAGAGCGAGACTCCGTCTCCAAAAAAAAAAAAAACAAAAGTGGCATAAACCTCTGAGACTGTAGCCTGCTTCTCATTGAGATTTCTAGAGGTGTGTTTGAGTTTCCAGAGTAATTTTCCAGACCAACCAGCATCAGTGGGAAATCTGTCCTCTTTTGGCAAACTGCAATCATTCATTTTCCTGAGTCCCCTGGTGGGGCGGGGGGAATTCTGCCTCAGGACCCCGAGGGGTCTTTGGGGGTGGCCATGGTAATGCAGCCACTAAGCAGGACTTCATTCAAAGTCATAATGAAGTAACCAGGGTGATCTTCAAATAAGAATAAAGCACGAGATCATTGTTGGAGGCTTCCTTGTCAAAGACGTGAACACGGGATTTCCAACACACCACGGTGTGTCCACTCATCACTGCGTGTTAGGAACTGCTGTCTCTTTGGGACACAAGTTAAAGAACACACTAATTTCTGGAGTGTGCCTGCAGCTTCACGGCCTTCATTTTGTTACTAAGTTATTTTCTGGAAGAACAGCAAACATTTCAGGTTGAAAGCAGAACTTTCCAAGTGCTACTGAAATTCCGCAGAGAATTTAACTGCGATGGTGGGTTTCTTACCCTAGAAACACCCTAACCTGTATCCATAAAAGATGTCCTTTTATTTTTTTAAAAGATCAATAAAATCAAGAGAAGTGAATGTTGAACTGGTTTGGGCTGGTGGTCAAAGAGGCTTTGTATGTTTGTACTTCCATGTTTTCTCAGAGTGGTGAAAAACTTTTTTTAGCCAAGTCATAAAATGTGAAAAAATCTTTTTAAAATTTTCTATTCAAGCCAGGTTTTTAGAAACGTACATGGGATGTGTTTGTGCGTCATTCAAGGCATATTAGCATCTGGTCGCAGGGTGGAGTCCTCCGTTGCCATGTTTCCGGTCTCCCAAATCTGTCTGATCCCACGGAGTTGGTGGTTTACCGCATCGTTTGTGTTGAACAGAGCCTTGCAGGCATGTCTGTCTAAAACACTCAAGCTGAAAGAAGGATAGGGTCTACAGCTTGTTTTTATGGCCCTTACTCTAAGAATGATTTATTATGTTTTTAAGGGTTGTTTTAAAAAATGAATATTTGGCAAGACCATATGTAGCCTGTAAAGGCTAAAATACTATCTGACTGGGTGGTGGTGGTGTGTGAGACAGGGTCTTACTGTTCTAGGCTGCAGTGCAGTGGCGTGATCATAGCTCACTGCAGCCTCAAACTCCTGGCTCACATCCTCCTGCCTCAGCCTTCCAAGTAATTGGGAGTACAGGTGTGCACTATCCTGCCTGATTTACTTACAAAAATTTTTTTTTAATAGAAAGGGGGGTCTCTCTTGGCCAGGCTGGTTTCCAACTCCTGGCCTCAAGTGATCTTCCCATCTCAGCCTCCCAAAGTGCTGGGATTACAGGTGTGAGCCACTGTACCCAGCCACCATCTGACTTTTTGTAGAAAGTGTTTACTGACTCATTGGGAAGACCTTGTGTTTTAACTTAAAAAATCAAGGAAATCCTGTATTTTTCGTATGATACTGGTTTTGATGAGTGAAGATGTTCTTCCCAGTCATCTTCAAGGCAGGGGGCAGTGGCCCTTGGACCACACATCACCTTATTTCTCTTCCCCCGCCCACCCCGCCGAACGGCCCAATAACCCCCTTAGACAGTCTCGCTTTGCATCTCTGCTCTGCTCTTTTACTGGCTATGGGGTCATAGGCAATTGGTTTCACCTCTCTAGGCCTCAGTTTGTCCATTCATGAAATAACCCTGACATCAGAGAGTCTTTGGGACAATGAAGCAAAACCCAGCTTTCCCCAATTTCTTTTCCTCTCTAGAAGACAGCTCAACAGAACAGCCAACGACACTGTGATTTATAACCGTTTATTAGTGAAGGTGTTTCTAAGCACAGTCAGGGTGTAAACAGTGCAGCATTCCTGCTTCCCTCCGTGGGAGCAGCGTCTCCTTTTCAATTCATGTGGCTACAGAAGGCACTTGGTGAACTGTGCGTGTCTGAGGTGTGGAAACCAGGAGAGGAGGAAAGAAGTCTGAAAGGCCTGATGTGAGAAGTTGGAAAGGTTCGCAGGTTAGGGAATGAAGGGGGGTGGGTGGCGGCGACACCCATTTCGGTGACTTTCTGCCCATTTCATGTAAACAAAATTGCCAGGGACCAGTTACCATGGATATGTTTTTCTAGAAACTCAATGTCTGCACAATCCATAGAACTGGAGGATGTGTCTGTTTCCTGTTGGGTTTTTCTCGTCCCTTACATCATACAAAATTCAATTTATACCTAGAATACAGGGGTAGTGGGGGTGGGGGTTGTTGAGACAGGATCTCTGTTGCCCAGGCTGGAGTACAGTGATGCAATTACAGCTCACTGCATTTTTGAACTCCTGGGCTTGAGCGATCCTCCTGGCTCAGCCTCTGTAGTAGCTGGGACCACAGGCGTGTACCACCACGCCCAGCTTATTTTTAAATTTTTGGATAGACAAGGTTTCACTACGTTGCCCAGGCTGGAGGGTGGTGGTTTTTGTATTTCTTGTGTGAAAGGTGTCTGTGATGTTTGGAATTTGAGAATGGATTTAGACAATGCTAAGTACAGTCTGCTGGGTTTTGCTTTGTTTCGGGTTCTTTGGTTTTTGGTTTTTCTTGCTGTGGTGCAAAACTAGACAGTTGCTTATTCACTGGCCTTGGTTCCGTTGAAGTCTGCATCTCGAGTGTCCATTTCCTCCTCAGAACCATCTGCATTTTCAATAACTCGACGTCCTCCAGACCTTCTAGAAGGAACGAAAGAGGTCTCGTTTCCTCGCCTGTGGGTTGTAAGAAAACATATTTTTTTAGCAAAGAAACCTTCATGGTTGGGATAGATTTTTTATAAATCTATTTTAAACGTGTAGCTGTAGTCCTATGGCAATAGACATCTATTTTTTTATGGCAGAAAACACGGCACAAATAAGATGCAGATATTCAAGTTGAAGTCAACAAATCCTGGCCAGTCTTAAGGCATGATTGATTGAATTTAATCAGCTGAAATTGGTTGTGGGGAGTGGAAAAGGTTTTTCAAAGCAAGACTATCTGCTTTTAAAAATGTCAGGCTTGGTCATTTGAGAACCCCCAGGATTCTGGTCTTTGATTTAGAATAGGAAAAAAATCCCCAAAAGCCAAGTAGGGGATTTTGTCTTCTGACTTTATTCATAGCCCACGGGGCAGAGATGAAGAGAGAACATGCTGTTTCTCTTCTGTATGTCCTCACCCCCATTCGCCTTAGAGGTGGATTTTCAAGGTTTGAATTGGAAGGTGAAATGGACAAGGGCAGCCTTGAGAGAGGGGGAGGTGAGGGACACAGAGGGGCTCCCTGGTTAAAAGGCGGGACAGCGCCTCCTGCTGGTGTGGAGCTTCCTGGACTGAGTCTTCCCTACCGCAGGGACTGCTGCATCTGTTTTGCTGACCGTGAAACACACCACACATGGCATAAAACGGGTGCCCAATGATTATCAGAAAAGGAGATGATACGTGTTAATCCAAGGTGGATTATTTTATTGAGATGAGGTCTTGATATTGTTGCCCAAGATGGTCTTGAACTCCTGGGCTCAAGCAGTGCTCCTAACTTGGCGTCCCAAAGTGCTGGCATTACAGGTGTGGGCCACCACACCTGGCCTCCAAAGTGGATTTAAAAAAATTTGAAGACAAGAGTGTGTCACCCAGGCTGGAGCGCTGTGGCACGGTCTTGGCTCACTGCAACCTGCGCCTCCTGGGTTCCCGCGATCCTTAAACCTCAGCCTCCTGAGTAGCTGGGCATACAGGCACGCACGCACCACCACTCCTCGCTAATTTCTGTATTTTTAGTAGAGGGGGGATTTTGCCATGTGACGCGGCCTGGTCTCGAACTCCTGGCCTCAAACAATCCACCTGTCTCAGCCTCTCAAAGTGTTGGGATTAGAGGTGTGTGCCAGTGTGCCTGGCCTCCGAGGTGGATTTTAGCTCCAGCCGGTACCGGACACCCCTCTCTCTCTCCTTACTACTCCCATCTCCTCTCTGCCCTGGTTCTCTAAGTTTATCACGTCGACTTCACAAGAAGGACTGGTCATGTGAGGGGAGACTTTGGGTAGGAGGAAGGGAGTGGGCAGGAGGAGGAAAAATCAGACCGCTTTGCTGCTGACCTGCACTGTTTGGAAGAAACACTTAACTCTTTTCAGCGACTGCAACAAATAATCATGTTGGGTTCTGGCCATGTGGCCTTGTTTGACCTGAATTGGAAGACAGGTCTTATTTTAGGACATCAAAGAAGCAAGCAGACTTTTGCTCCCTACACAAAGGCTGGACAAGAAGCCACAAGGATGAACACAACTCAGTGACTGATTATTTAGTCAAAAGGAACACCTCCGCCGGGTGCGGTGGCTCACGCCTGTAATCCCAGCACTTTGGGAGGCCGAATCGGGCGGATCACAAGGTCAGGAGATCAAGACCATCCTGGCTAACGTGGTAAAACCCCGTCTCTACTAAAATACAAAAAAAATCAGCCAGGTGTGGTGGCGGGTGCCTGTAGTCCCAGCTACTCGGAAGCTGAGGCAGGAGAATGGCATGAACCTGGGGGGTGGAGCTTGCAGTGAGCTGAGATGGCGCCACTGCACTCCAGCCTGGGCAACAGTGCGAGACTTCGTCTCAAAAAAGGAACAACTCAGACAGGTAAGATTAGAGGCGTAAGCAAGACCCAGAGATTCATGATCGCTGAGAAGAGGAACTCCCAATATGACCCTTTTGTTGACAGAAGATGGGAGAGGCCCCAGCTGGGAAAGCCCACCTGGCTGTAAAGGAGGGGGCTTCCGGCAGTGCAGGAATCAGGAATAAAGACTTAAAAGTTGCAGCCACTCCAAAGTAAACACTCCTAGTCCAGCTTCACAGAGAAGCTTCTGGACTTGCAGCCGTGCTAGAGAACTCTCCATCCTTCTCTCTCTAGACGTGACCCTCAAGTCTTTCTTTTAGCACTGTCTTGCAAGCACTTGACTCAGAAGGATCCCCAAATTCAGAGCAGACAGCAGCAGCAGTTTGGCCATTCCCTGTACGCTCCCCACACAGCTTGCTTCCTTACAGTTTTAACTCCAGGTTCAAAACCTGATGGGCTGGCCGGGTGCAGCAGCTCATGCCTGTAATCCCAGCACTTTGGGAGGCCGAGGCAGGGTGGATCACCTTTGAGGTCATTTGTTGGAGACCATCCTGGCCGACATGGTGAAACCCCATCTCTCCTAAAAATACAAAACTAGCCGGGCGTGGCGGTGGGCGCCTGTCATCCCAACTACACAGGAGGCTGAAGCAGGAGAATCGCTTGAACCCAGGAGGCAAAGGCTGCAGTAAGCCAACATTGCGCCACTGCACTTCAGCCTGGGCAACAGCAAGACTGTCTTTAAAAAAAAAAACCAGATGAGCTAACCTGGAGCTGAGAAGTAGTCCCTAACCTCCTCATCAGTGCTCCAGGCACACACTTTTTGACTCTTGGAAGAGTCCATTTGCTAACTGGAAAAGCTTAATGGATAAATTTGCTCCCTTGGCTCCCTTGACCTAAGAAATACATTGTGCCCTGGGTCATTGGAAGCTGCTTGCTTGGCTGTCAGCCTGCAAGACACTCTGTTTTGGCTCAAGTGCTTTTCTTGGAACTTGTTTCAAATCCTAGACCAAGGTTGGCACCAACTATACCTGTTACAGGAACTAAGGGACCCCCTCTAAAGGTTTTCTTAAAGGGTCTGATCCTGGAGAATCTGGTTTTTTGTGGGTTTTTTTGAGATGGAGTTTCACTGTCTCACCCAGGCTAGGGTGCAGTGGCGCAATCTTGGCTCACTGCAGCCTCTGCCTCCCAGGTTCAAGCGATTCTTTCGCCTCAGCCTTCTGAGTAACTGGGACTACAGATGTGTGCCACCTCACCTGGCTAATTTTTGTATTTTTAGGAGAGACGAGGTTTCACCATGTTGGCCAGGCTGGTCTTGAACTCCTGACCTCAAGTGATGCATCTGCCTCGGCCTCCCAAAGTGCTGGGATTATAGGCGTGAGACACTGCGCCTGGCCTAGCATTTGGATTCTATTCCTGGACCCAACTTATCCAAGGCCTCAGGAATTAACTTGAATGTAAGCACCTGCTGCTTTGCAAGGACTTGGTTTCCCACTGACCGGTGGGTTCTGCACTTCAGCCAACCCTGGAATTCGGCTTATCATGTGATCCCAATGAGCCGGCAGGAGAGCTGCTCGAAGTGCCCCAGAGCCTCATCTGCTCCCCCACAAAACTGGCTCTTAACAAGACCTCACCCCATGCTAAAATTTAAGTATTTTGGTGGTGACAGCAAAGCTGAGATTCTCCAAAAATGAAGATGCACACAAATGACAGTTGGTTTGGCCTCTCCACGAGGTGAAAGAAGTCAGATCCACATTGCCTAACTTCACCTATGAAAAGTTGTTCATCATGCCTGTAATCCCAGCATTTTGGGAGGCCAAGGTGCATGGATCACCTGAAGTCAGGAGTTGGAGATCAGCCTGGCCAACCTGGTGATATCCTATCTCTAATAAAAATACAAAAATTAGCTGGGCGAGGTGGCGGGTTTTTGTAATCCCAGCTACTCAGAAGGCTGAGGTAGGAGAATCGCTTGAATCCGGGAGGCGGAGGTTGCAGTGAGCCAAGATTGTGCCATTGCACTCCAGCCTGGGAGACAATGAGACTCCGTCTCAAAAAAAGTTTTTCAAGTCCCAGAGAAGCAGAGACCTCTTTGTGCTTTCTTGGGAAAGGCCCTGTGTACATCCTCGAGTCTTGGGTGTCCATTCCCCATTCCCTGAACAGTACGTGCCCGTGAAGTCTCCAGAAAAGGCTCTCCCAGGACTGTGCTTGGCTTTGCGGTGGTCAGCTTCCACCCCATGTGCTGAAAATGCAGTTCATAGTTAGACATCACTCAAGCCACGTGCAGCCCCCGGCATTTGTCAGACATCGCAGTGAGCTCATTTCCTTTGCGGACAAGACTGTGAAAGCTGAATCGTGGGAGGACTGGTTGCTGCGCTGCAGTTACCATGAACTTTGTGATTTCTGACTTGTGACCCAGACCAGCCAACTAGAAGCCAAGTACATTCTCTAGGAATGTGCCCAGATAGTGGAACGGTCATATTCACTCAGTGCAGTAACTTCACTGGACAAGGGAGGACAGCACTGCTGAGTGCCCTGACAGTGTAAGAGTGGCTTTTGGCATGAAGAAAAATCCAAGCCACACAGAGCCTCTGACATCTCGTCAAGATGCAGTGATAAGGGCACACTGTTGGGTGTCATGTCACATGCACTGGCCAGAGGCAGGAAGGACAGTGGGTCAAGAAATGAGGTCAATTTGTCATCCTGATCTTGGTTTCAATGAAAGACAGCTTTGCACTAAGATATCCAAGCCTTCAGATTTTGCAGGAATTTCGTGGAAATGTGCAAGGGTTTAAAAATCGGGGTGGGCAGAGGGGCGCACTGGGCAGAAAGGAAATGGATACTGAGACAACACACAGCTGCGAAGCTGAAGGCATGGTACCTGGTGCATCACTGCGAAGTTTCCTGTTGGGGGGGCCCTCTGAAACAGAGAGAGAATCCCCAGAGGTTACCATCAGCAAACGAAAAGGAGCCCAGTTAAGTATATTCTTAATTGTTAAAGACATTTGCTTTGACTTAATAAGTAAAGGCACTCTTTTTTGAGATGGAGTCTTGCTCTGTCTCCCAGGCTTGAGTGCAGGGCTGCGATCTTGGTTCACTGCCAACTCTAAGTCCCTGATTCAAGCGATCCCCTCACCTCAGCCTTGCTAGTAG